TCAAAAAACTCTTCATAGTGAACAGTAAAAAATTTATACTGTGCACAAATTTATAATAGTGTTCTCATGAGACCTCTAAGAACACCAATTTCGAACACTGTCCTGAAGGTGTGACTATAGAGAAGTTTGACTATAGTTATAAAAAATAATTAGTAAAAATAAATTTATAATTATATTAATTTTGTAACTATAGAGGAAGTGACTATAGAGGGGTTAACTGTATTTGAAACAAATTATATGATTGGTTGATTTGTGATTGTAAATTGTAGATAGTAAAGCATATCAGTGTAAAATTTAAACTAAAATAACTTTTGAACTACTTAAGATATACAAGTAAAAATACCTTTATTAGATTCTTCTTAAAATCCTCTTTAAAATAATAGAATATTTTTTTTTTATTGTACTAAAATTAATCATATTTTAGTAATTAGTTTTCGCTTCAACTTATATAAAAAATAAAAGAAGGGCTCTATTACTTTAAAGAGAATGTTAAAAGGAATCTAATTAATATAATTTTGTATGCATCTTATAAGTAGTTCGGAAGTTATTTTAGTTTGAAATTTTATACGTTTTTTGTTATTAAAAAGAATGATCGACAAAAAATACACATTATTTGTAGATCTTTCTGTCTCAGTCTGTATATCGATTACACCGATGTATGCTGCATATCTCAAATAAAATCATTAAATAAAGTTAATTTGACACTCGACCACCTGGTTTAATGACAAAAAACCTACTACGAAATACACTAAATAGGATTTTGCCTCGCTGCTCACATGGTTTTAGCCGGTTCATAGCATTGCTAAACTAGTTCTATAACTATTTCTCCTTCTTTGATATTCAAGCTGTATATTCGGGCTATCAAAATACCAACTTCGATATCCGAGCTGTAATAGTTGGGCTAACAAACATAAACTTCAATATCTGAGCTGAGCACCTGGGCTATCAACTAAACCCATAACTTCCAAATACCCAACACTAAATACTCCTATCTAGTGATAGGTGGGAGCAGTGTTAAAGATCTGAAAATTTTTTTGGTTCTTTGAGAACATAAATTGATAATTTTATGTTCTCATGAACATTTTAATGTTCTAACGATAAAAAAAAAAAAAAAAAAAAAAGAGAAATTATATATATTTTCTATATATCATATGAGAACATAAATTATAAATTTTATGTTCTTAGTTGGTTCTCAAAAGAGAACATAATTTTTAAATACAATATTCTCAAATTTTTTTAAATGTTCTTGAGAACACTGAGAACATTAGATCTTTAACACTGGGTGGGAGGACACTTTCAACGAAGCTAAATTCCTGTTGAGCTAGCAGCAAAGACAAAAGAGGTAGAACCAAAACCTATCACTTCTTTTTTATATACCCCTTCTATGTCTCATATTTACAACTATTCAAAAAAACAAACAATATACATCACCAATACATCATACTTACCATCACTCAATATATCATATCTATCATTACACAATACCTCATACTTACAAATGATCTACAAACCGTCACTCTGATGTCATGGGACCAGGTTGTGGTCTCATGACAAATGGATGGCCCATGACTTCGTTCACAGCATCTCATTTGTAACTCGACCACCTGGTTCACTAACAAAAAACCTACTATGAAATATACTAAATAGGATCATCAAGAGAATCAAAATGCATCTTCTTTTCCTTAATCTGCTTATGTACATATAACCTATAACTTACAATTGGGCACTTACATATAAACTATTAAAAACCTATTCTAACTAAAGCTTTCTCCTTTGTAGTCTTTACTGCTCTCAGGTACAACATAACTCCTTTCAGTCCTAACCCCAATAGTCCTTATTTGTATCAATGATATACCTTCCCTCATAGCCGCTATTGCATACCTATCCTTAAACTGTTTGATATAAAACAACCTCTAACTTCCACATGCTTTGTTATATACTTAATCACTGCAGAAACTGCGGCTACTGACATTCTCCTACCCTTGTTTGTCAAGAACAAAGGCTTATCCTCTACTGTACAAGGTCTTACCCTCATATACTTCTCCAATAACCTCACCAAGCAAAACCTACTACCTGTAGGTTCAACTAGCACAAACCTCCTATTTGCAAAAAAGTTATTCTTTGCTTTTCTTACTCTCAACCACATAGTTCCAATTTTTTTTCTATATCCTTCAATCTTAACTCACACAACTCTCCCGGTCTAGGCATTATATAAAAACCTATTGCCACTAAAGCTAAATTCCTATACCATATTATCAGGTCCACTTTCCCTGACGAATCATCATGGTACCGTCTCAATGCCTTCAAAGGGAACAGATCCCATGGCTAGTCTGAATTGTGGTCCTGAGCTTTCAATAGCTTAATGCCTCTAACCACCTCCCTTACCCTAAAATTCTCTACTGGATTACTTAGCCCTTTCTTCTTATACATCCTACCTATCACCCCAAGATACCTATATACCTGTATCAACATACCTACCAATTCCA